AGGAAGCTGACATGGCAGTATCGCATGTGCGGGATGGGAGAGGAGAGGTGGCCGAGAATAGTATGGAAGGCGAAGTGGGCAAACAAAAAGTGGGGTAGACAACCCACGGAATGGGTCAAGGTTGTAGAGGACGTATGGAAGGGGCTCGACATCGACGAAGATGAAACACTGGAAACGGAGGGTGTACAGGGGTTCAAGGAGAAGATATCTGTTGCTTGTGCCGAGAGAGAAGAACAGAATCTGAGGAAAGAATCCAAGGATAAGGAGGGTCTAGAAGTGTACGGAATGTTGAAGGAAGGAATAGGGTTCAAGGACTACCTACATGGACCAATGGATGCAGGAACAAAGCTTAAGGTCAAATTCAGGACCGGGGACATAGGCCTTCGAGAACGTCGACGAAGACATAGGACGGTAGACGAGGAAGACGACGAGTTCAAATGTGATTGCGGCTTCGAATGCGAAGACCGTGTTCATGTAGTCGCGGAATGTCCGTTGTACAAGGAGAGGGAAGTGTACGTGACTTAGCTGGTAAAATAGATGGGACGTACAGGGAGATGTTTGAGGCATGGAATAGAGAGGAAAGGACGGTAGCTGTACTGAGGCATAGGAGGTGGGTTGGAAAGGCGAGAAGGAATATCGTTAGGATAGACAGACTAGGGAAGACATTTTTAAGCCTCCTTTGGCAAAGTAGAAAGGAACGATTGGCCATCGGTGATCGGTCCTGTGGGAACAATGCTCCGTCCTCTCGAGGACGCGTGGTCAATAGTCTAGCCGCAAAGGCATGCAAAACATAAGAGTACGCCCCCCCCCTGGACCGATTTTCAAAGCTCGACTTCTCCATTGCAAGGACGGTGACGGTGCCGACAATGGCGGCGTTGGAACCGTCTCGTCGCCGGCTTTCCGTCAACGTGTCTTTTTACATCTGGGCATCCTGTTCGTCGTGGAAAGTTCGAGCTTTGAAAATCGGTCCCAAGGTGTACGTGGTGTCTTGCGCCACGTCACATACGGTAGCTCGAACCACGTCCCACCACGCTTCCCACTCCACCACACGCCTGCCTAACCCCATGACTATCGTGATCCAGAGTCATCACCGCTAACCGAGTTGGTACGCGCAAGAACCCCACGTGAGGGAGATGAACATCATTCCAGTCGTCTTGGCGCTCGTTGACCAGCACGGCAAGCCGTACTGTGGTTGACGCGCTTTTGCCCGCGCCCCCACACCCTGCAACCCCATCGACACAGGTCCGTAGCCGGCGTAACTGGTGCACGATCGAAGGCGAGGTGCAGGCGCTGGAGCGGCTGTCGCAGGTGATGAAGGCCCTTACGCCGAGGCACGTGGACGTGGTGGTGTGCGTGGCGAAGAAGCTCAAGGACAACCCGGGGTTGCAAGGTGCGACGGAGGGAGGGAGAGCTCACGCTCGTGCGTGTGGTACTCTTGTTCAGTTCGAGAGAAGGATCGAATTTTGCGTGGTTTGAGGAGATGCGTGAGTGCGTGTGCTGCTCGTGACGCGAGAGATGTTTTTTGTCCAAGGTGCGAGGGGGAGAGGGAGAGGCGAAAGAGCTCGCACTCTTGCATTCAGCTCGAGGAGATTCAAAATGCTTGTTTCGAGTGCGCGAGTGCGCAAGCTGTTGGTGACACGAGACAATGTTTTTGTCTCTTGCAGTTTTGGGTGAGGAAGTAGGCCGTGCTCGTGTTGTCCGGGAGAGAGTTCGAGGCGGTTGTATCTGCTAAGGCAACCGCGTAGGGCGGTGTGTTTGGTTGGATTGTACCGTGCTTCGTTTGCGTGCCAATCAAGCTCTCCTACTCACCACCCGAAAGATATAGTGCGGGCCGGGGGGGGGGGGGGG